CTACTACTCCTCCGCCTCCTCCTGCTGCTGCTGCTACTGCTACTGCTACTGCTGTTGCTACTGGTACTGCACTGCGACTGCCACCACAAGAGGTCGTCAGCATAGGTCATATGACATGTGTAAAACCTTCTCAGGGGCCCGACGCTGCTTCGCGGTGGATGCTGCCAGGAAGGCTGTTGAGGCTTTGGTACCGCAGCTGGGTTCTGATTGAACCCTTGAGGTTGACTTTGGAGTTGTGTTTTAAGCTTCTGAGACTGTTCCCTGCCAAGGGGCGCGCATCTTACAAAGCGTGTGCACAGTCCACCCTTGCGCACACCACTGACACTGGGGGTTGATGGCAGGTGTTGCATTTGCATGTCATGGGCATGAAGTTGATGACACGCGTGACGCTGCCGCAGGCTTGCGAGCGCAACTTCCGTCTGAACGGGCTTCATGCACAGGCTCTTCGGGATGGATGGGAATCGGGACCAGTCGAGACTATATAGGTGGTGTTCTTAGGGCGCACGCTCTGGTGAGACGGCATCATCCTTTTTGACACCGCTTGTTAGCCTTGTGTGCTTTTTGCTGTGGCAGCGATAAGCAGCTCTGTGGGAGGTCTCCTCCGGCACCGAGCAGTTCCAGCCCACGCAGAATATGCCAGATGCTTACCGCCCTTGGAACGACTGGCTGAGAACTTTGGTGCTGATGTTGCAGTTGCCTCTGAGCTTGGGTTCACCACCGTGCAGATGTTGTGTAAGCTGGGTCCCATCTACTCTCCCAAATGAGGATCCACCTGGCGGATTGCTGGGAGTTTCTCAGAAATGCCGCGGAAGCCAAAGATGCTTTCGACATCGCCTGGATGCTCGGTAGTGGCTGTTTCGGGGGTTAAAGGGTTTCGGGCTGAAGATGTGGTGGGGACGAACTGTCAAGAGGTGAACTCAGCTACATGTAGCCTGAACCGATCGAGTATTGGTGCGAATTTAAGCCTGGCCAGCTTGGAATGGCTACCTCTCGAATCTGCTGAGGCTTACCTGCCAGATCTGCAGCGACGCAACAGACTCTGTCCTAATTACTACACCTGGTTTAGAGAAAACCACAGGTAAGATCAAGAGAACAGACAGACTGACTCAATTGTATATATGCTGCATCGTGTATCTTTCAAAGGTTGTGTGCGATCCTCCGTCCATGGCCCCGCGAGTCAGTGCGAGGCCTCAGGCTCGGATAATGCCCACAGGAGCAGTGACTGCTAAGACCACACCGGGAAAATAGTTGCTATAACTATCTATAGCTACTTCTACAGAATTACGGTCAACTGCATATAGTTACGACCACAGCTACCAGTACCTTGGGTACCATTATCTACATAGTTTAGTAACCACCATAACAGAATAGAAGTATGTCTTGTAGCGCTGTGGCGACATTCGTTGTCGGGTGGGCATCTTGTTTTTACTAAAATAGTACTGTACTAGGCTATACTAGACTGTACTCGACTATACTACGCTACACTAGACTGACTATACGATACAGTACTAGGTTGTGATTTGTCGCCGGAGCATACCTTGAAAGTTTCCGGCCCATTTCAGCACCTAAGCTTGCTTCACGCCGGGGCATTTTCATTGGGGTGCATCGGCTGTTCACACCTTTGCAACTATGTCGCAGGCAGTTTCTGGGAACCCGCTCCGGCTCCTTCCCCAATCCTCTGGGTTCTTGTTAAGGAGTTTAATTACTATATAATCAGGAAACCGAAACCACGTTATTTACTATAGAGTCCTATATCATGAGAACTCAACTTAAACTCCTGAACAAGAACCCTTTCCTGGAGACAGGCGCTGAAGGCCTACGGCTCCCTGAATCAGGGCGCTTTGAAAGTCTTGCGGCCGGGCCAGCGCCTCGGACCATCCGTGACGGCCCGGTTGGCTTCTCTACTTCAGCCGTGCGGAAGATGGGGGAAGTGACATGAGTGCCAGGACTTGGGGAGTCTATGGTGCGGGCTCGCATTTGCTTCCCTTGTTTTCTGCGTAGCATCTTATTGTTTGTGTGACATGTGTGTCCTGGTCATGTGTCTGTAACCACAGTCTGAGGGCTCTATCACTCGATTTGTTTATCCATCGGGCTGCCTGGTAGCCCATATTGCACACCTGTCCCGAATTGCCCTCAGTCTCCCCAGGCGGCCGGCTGATTAGCTGCTCTTGCAGCTGGGGGCCCAGACTTTCATCCCAAAGGGTCCAAAGTACCATAAAGTACCTATATAGTTAGGAATTGTTATTATGATTTGGGAAAGTGTCCCCCATAACAGTACCTAGGACCCTTTGGGCATGTCATCGGAGTGCTGATAGGATCGCTGGTCCCCAAACACGCTGAATGCAGACAAAGCATGGCATGCTCAGTGAGAAATCTGGAGAGCTCCTGCGGCTCTGGGCTATGACAGGCTATAGAAGCTTGGGCCCGAACATGTCGGACAAGCATCTTCCACACTTATATATGTATTACACACACACATATACATATATATATATATATATTCATTCAGTCCCCATTCGTTTTGATCTTGAGCGGTGATGTATCGAGGTTCGCACATCACGCGGAAGGATTTGCTGAACACCGTCCAGGCCGGTTGAGTGAGCCCTTGGCCTCGAGTAGCGAGCAGTCGCTTTGCAGCACACCACACCAGAAGCCCCTTCTCCGTGCCAGGGAAGTGTTCAGCCGTTGCCGTTCACTATCTGACCTGGCATAGGTCGCTGAGAGACCTCACGAAGCATAATGGAGTTGACCTGCTCTTGCAAGCCTTTGCCAGGAGGCCGCACAGCTCTTGGGTCGTAGTGTGGTCCTGGAGGCGCATGCTGTGAAACACCTGCCGAAACTTCAGGGTCAGTGCGCGTTGGCGGGTCGTAGGTCCAAGCTCAGCCCGAAAAAAAGCCACCTCTGAAAGCCTTACCGCCTTGCCCACATGAAATCCCACTCACAATTCAAGGTCTGAAGTTAAATGAATCTTCGGATCTGGGGCTTTGGGTACGGGTCGTCTCAGCTCTATTGATTTTAGACCCGACTCAGGAGGAGGGCTCGGCCGGGGCAGACCATCCGACTCGGCGTGGCTTCCCCGAGGGCGAGTATTTGCAGGAGCGGCTTTAACTTTCAGGTTTGGAAGTGGTGGCCAAAGCCAAGCTGCACCTGAAGGTGACGCATGTCGTCGGTGGCATTTGAAAGTCAAACCTTGTAACTGCGCGCACGTGTGCATGGAAGGTCCTCCACTTCATCGTTCAGTGACAACGACGGTGATGGCGTGGGTTGACATCCGAGAGCGACAAAAAACAGCGTTTGCATCGCTCCTCCGCGGTTAGCAGCAAGCCTGGTTGTCATGACTATATCTCTGTTCTTTCTGGCTTAGCCAGCTTCGGAACATCACTAGCCGTCACGAGCACCTCAGCCCCTCATTGCTCGCTGCAAGTAGGAAGGAAGGATGACATGTAGCATGTGACAGGCTTATCTGCCTCCTCGCACACGCCTCTGTCGGAGCCTCATCCTGCAACGGTGACGAGACGACAGGTCCGCATGTCGAAGCAAGACCTCCAATCCCATGGACTGGACCCGAAGACACGGAGCATGTGGATGTACGGCTCTAAGGCTACCACTTCATCCGTGGATGCTGCAGATGGGAGCACAACTGTAGGAGGCATGCAGGAGTGGACAGATCAGATGGCAATGTGGTGGCTTCACGGTCTTGTCAGATGGTGGTCGTTTGTAGCAGTTGGCTCAGTCAGTGTGGAGACCGTGTCCCTCAAACTCGACAGGCATCATCCGCACGAGAGGCTGGGCTTGTTGCATGCTGGTGCCACGAACCTAGAGACTTTTGAGCTAAGAGAGCCTGTGAGTTCGTCTACGGTTTAGACATTGGCACTGCGCAAGACATTACACAGGTTGAAGTCTAGATTATCAGATTGCGGCTGTGGCATGTTCGCGTGGCCCTGTCCCTGTCTTCAAGTTTTTGCCGGTGCAAAACTGGACTTTGGGGGTGCTCATCGCACCTTATAATATCGTCCGTGCATGTCGCGCTTCTGCGGGAGGCAGCTGGCAGAGATTTCTCGACTCTTGAGGCCGAAGTGCCGAGGGTAGTCGTGCGAGTTTGATAGCGCTGCTACACTTTCCTGCGAACAGGGACTTCAGTGGATTTGTGATAGCAGAATGAAACACTTTGCTCTTCTGCGCGCACAGATGGGCAAACGTGGCACATGTTGTTCATTGCGTTGCTGAGAGGATGGTCCCATGCCGCTGGGGCTCGCAGTGCAGGATGAAGAACTGCGTGTGAACCCCAGCTGAATCTAGTCCGGGCTGGCGTGTGATGCCAACGGTGGCTGCCTACGTTTGAATGTGAGAATGTCGGCTGCAACAATCCTTCGGGACATGCGTGTGCGGAGGGCTAGGTTGGCTTGAGTTGTAATCTCAATGCATCCTCCTCGAGAGAAGCTTGGACAGTGTTGAACAAGTACCTTGCTGGCCGAGTTGGCTGCATGCCTGGAGTCGAACACTGCGATCGAAAGGTCTTCAAGCACGAGGAGCCCGAATGGCAACATGCAGAGGCGGGGCTGGAATGTTGGGCTGCACACCAGAGAAGCCTTAGGTTCCTAAGACTTGACTACGCCCTGAACACTGCAGTCTTCACGACTTTTCCTTGGGAGGGCCTGCTCGAAAGCTCGTTCCGGGCTTCGGGTTCAAGCTGGAAGGGACAGGTCAGGATCGAGACCTTGGGGATCGTGCATGGGGCCGTCGACACTGCGGCTTCAGGCTTTATGATATGCAGCAATTTGCACAGCTGCAACTCTGATTCACAATGTAATCCTTAGACTCTGAAGTATTCTCTAGAAAGGCTTAGTGCCGAGGGCCCCAAGCTATGACAGCAGGTTGGCCGCTGAGAATTCTCTTAGCCTAGCGAAGGTCAGATATTGGGTTGATTGAAGTCTTCATCGCCTTCATGACAACTGAGAGGTTTCGGCGGTCAGGGGTGAGCACGGAAGCATGGGGGACAACCGTCTTCGAGAGCATCTGCTCGTACAGTAGTAGCGATACAAGAAGCAGGCGGGTGCGCGGATGCAAGGCTCCATTCAAAATACGGACTGCTTCGGTCGATGTGGATGGCCTTTTTCTGAGACATGCTGAAACCGTACCAGCAGCTATACCTGCATGCAACGACCGACAGCTGGGTGAGCAGCGTACCAGTCCCAGCCGTTGCGCACTGCCAAAGGCTTCAGGATTGGGCTCTGTCGTGCATTGGTGCAGTTGATCGATTCGATTCTTCTGGGGTGCCTGAAAGGATCCGGAGGTCCAAGAACAGCAACGTCCGACGCTGAGCGAGGAATTCGGTATGTGACCTGCGCAGAGAGGGAACCGCGCATCGATGTCACAGCCTAGTGAGACTTCACTTGGGGATGAAACCTCTTTGCTGCTGCGGATTTAAGGTCGACGGGTGTACGGTTGAGGCAGTTTAGGGTTTACCAGATCTAACCCCATGGCTTCAACCTCCGAGCTTGAGGAGCCAAGCCTGCTTCGGTGCCTTGGGGTTCTCGGTTCAGAGCTCCGCACTCTTCAGTTGCATCAGGTTATGCTGTCTTTCGAGTTGTTTGTCGATGAGAACTGTCATAACTATTGCCTGGAGGCAAGCAGCACCCCATAGCCCAGAGACGAAAGGTGCAGAAAGCGACGAAAGCTCGGCAGAGAGCATCGGTTGGGCCAGCAGCCGTGAAGGCACGGCAGAATGGGACTGAATTTGCTTTGAGATGCAAGATGTTGAAGAGCAAGCATCGGTATGGCTTTCGGCACGGAAGCATTGTACAAGCGGCGGATGGAGGCCATGTGTTGGCACGGCATTGGCTATCCGCCTGCAACTCTGATTGTGCAATCGAAGCGCAGCGAGGTCGCCATGCCCACCATACACTACAGTCACTACAGACTACAGTCACTACAGTCGCTAGCCGCTACACTGTCACCACAGAGCCCTTTGACTTGAGGCAGCCGCCCTGCCCGATTTCATCAACCTAAAAGGCGACCTTCGTACAACAGGTTCTACAAGCGCCAGCACCACCGAGGACGAGAGCAGTGAAGGGCCTCAGTGGCTGGCAACATTCATGAAGGATAGTGCTGGTTTTTTCTGTGCCTAGCGCTCCAAAGCTCCGCTTCTTATCACAACGAGCACTGGTCGCACTCTCGACCATGCGTGCGCGAGCCATGAGGTGCTTCTGATGACGAGGATATGTCGCGCTCGAGGCCATCCTGGGTTTGCTCGTTCCGTTCTGCAGTCGTGCTCAGGGTGGCAAATGTACCCAGTGCACATATCAGACAAAGGTCGCTTCCGCAAGTGCTCCACCGGGAAGTTGTAGACGCTTGACCCCTAAACACCCTAAGCCCAAAACCCCCCATGCTCAGGCAGCAGTTTTTGCAGAGCAAGGCGAATCCTGTGCTGCCCCTGGCCTGTTGCGATTATGGTCCTCAGAGTTTCTGAGCGGGGAAGCGCAGGGGTCCTGAGCATCAGTCGCCAAAGCACCCGAATCGAAGTTGATCCCCATGAGGTGTTGATCTTCCAGGACGCCGGCATTTGTATAATCAGCAAGCCTGCAGGTGCCATCCTTAGATTTAGGCGAAGGACATTATATGGGGTTCATGCGAGTTCTGTATATCTTCCCGTGACATGGTCTGCTATACACATCCACTACTGACTACTGTACTTCATCTTCAGTGATGTGAGCCTTGCGCACGTACGAAAGCGAACTGAGAGTCCGCTGCACCCCTTTAAACCCCATCATAGACTTGCGAAGCAACGCAGGCTGGTCGGCCGATCACTGTCCAGTGTCGCGGGCATCTCGTCCTCACGAGTTGGTTTCAGGATTGTAACTCTGAGTCATTTCGACCCCGCGTAATTGCATTTCATTCTTCGGATCAGCGCTACTGGCCGGCATCACCCGACGTGTCGCTGTGGTCGCACTTCCCGCAACATCGCTCCATCCTGAAGCCCCAAAGCCTTTGAGCGCAAGGGATAGGGGGGTTCTTAAAGCAAAAAATAAGGGAAAGATCCGACTGTTTCGGGTCTACCTGACTCGGAGGGTCCCCTGCTTTCTGAAACTCCGACAAGCAACTCTTGGTGTCAGGGCCCGGATGGCCGTCCGCTGAGTCTCAAGGCATGGCGCCAAGCGTTTAGTGATGCCCGAGAAGTGGGGTGTAAAAGGGAGCTACGCTGGGGAAGACATAGGGGGGCAACTAGAGAGGAGCTAGTCAGCCAACCATGCGACGTCGAGATTCTATTCTGGCGCTTCGTCGGATCTTGGCAATACTGGCAGCAGGATTGCATAGGGCCTTCGAGGGGACGGTTTGGCTCAGATCCACGGCCTTTGCGGCCATCTTGAGCCAAAGGGCTATGCCTTCGCTGCAAGCACGCTTCACTTTGCAACTCTCCATGTAGAGATGTCCACTCCTTCAGTTCAGGGACATGAGCCATTTTGCCGCATTTGCCGCGATGTTTGCGGCAACCATAGGGCTTCAAGTCTCAACGGTGGGTCCCGCATTTCGGCATCGGAGGAGCAACAAAGCAAAATAATCTTGCACTTGCCGTCTTTGAGTGTGGCGAGTTGCCATGCCTCATGCCAGGCGCTGCACAGCAGCGGTAGCCGCAGCCTTAGCTGCCCTTCGACAGCCGGCCTGGCAGACAAGCAAGTCTCATGTCCATGAACCCTGGGCACGTCAGGCAACATCTCTCGTAGGAAAGTCAAAGGGAAGCCTCAGCCTGAACTTGAAATCCTGAACCCCGAACTGACCAGGCGAGGCGATGCGACGACCCCAAGCGGCCCTTTAAGAATTGACATCCTGGAGCACAGCGTTGCAGCAGAGCAGAAGTGCATTTCATGTCACGGTCTGGCAGAATCTGCTGCCAGAAGTCCGGGGGTTGAATCGTCCACGTTACCGTATATGTTACTATATAAAACTATAGTAGAAGTAGAAGCAGTACCGTAGATATTTTCGTAGATCATAGTACATTATCGGCTGTTGCGAGAAGCCGCCGAAAGGCATCGAGCCACTCTCCCGGCACCCCGCTTCGCCCGTGCTGCTGGCGAGAAGCTTCTTTTGGACATGTGGCCGCCTCTTCGGGTTTATAGCGCTTAGAGACTTAAGGGTTTAGGGGCCTCTTTTGGGAGGTAAACTTTTCCGGGAATTTTGGGAGTTGGGGCGTCCTGAGAAGAACCGACCACGGTTTCCAGGATGAGGCTTTTGCCTCACGGTTCAGA